ATTAAGAGTAGCTGTTAAATCTGAAGTGTTGTATTCTTATTTAATTGTTATATATTTTATAATTATTACGGATAGTACTTGATATTATTTGCATTATTTTACACGTAAAATAATTTACCTGATGAAATCAAGCGACTAAGTATTAGTATTACCTATTGCTATTACTATCTGCTTGAGTGTCACTCGTGTTGATATTGATTCATTTATTGTCGCTATATGTGTGCATCCATGGCGTAATGACATCATCTCTTGCACGTCTGTCAATAGAGAGTATTCAATCCATTGTATATATGCATCATACTTATTCTTCACATTACTCCACGACTCCATAATAAATGAATCCAATGACTTGTTGCCCGTAGTCCAATCGATAGGTCTTGGTGTTTTACAACGAAGACAGAATGCATTTATCTGGGGTAGTAATTGCCCTATACACGCCAGACATAATCCACTCTCATCATGCTGTTTCATTAGACAATATTTTCTTTCCCATTTATCATCATATGTGAATCCGATGGCCCAAACATCCGTGGTAAGAATGTCTGGATGCTTATCACATAACTAATGGAAATTATGCATAAGCCAATAATTATTTAAACTATTCAATAGACATGACGCGTAAGTAAATAGTTTACCTCGGCATAATATAAATCATGTCTGTTATCTCAAGTGGAATCAATTCAACATATCGATCAGTAGTAGGTAGATCATACAAGTATACACCCAATAGCCCCCCACCCTCAATACAATCAAATGGAATCCATTCCAAATAGGCATCATTTGGTGAGTTTGTTTGTAATTGAGATTTCTTAATAAACTCATCGAGTTGCTTATTGTTGCTAGTCCATCCATCGGATAATTGTTTATGCCCGCAAATGCACTACACGGGACTGCATCGGAGTATTCCACACGCGGAGCAGAATCCATATCGAGAATAACAGTGATAAAAGCATCGCTTAGCAACCATGTAATACTTGTCATTATACTTGGTGAATCCTTTTATCATGCTGTTGCGTTCCTCAAGCCATACGGAATATCGTCTAAAGTTGTCGCTATTATTATTGTACTTGTGTTTTTGGAAGTGAGTATATTCTAGCAAACTCACTCACAAATGTTGGCGTACATATCTCATCATTTCCAAGTAATACCAGCGTTATCATCGTTTCCACTTCATCTCTATCAGAATATGGTTTATATTTGCGAATGGCGTAGTCAATTTGAGTTGGCTCTATGTCGGTGAATTCCGAACAAGAAATCCATTCAAGAGTTTTTTTACTAGTTGCGATCAAGTTGTCAATTACTGGATCCTTAATTAACGACATGGTTTTGAATAAAAAACTTTTTCACGGAGAGAGAGATCAATTCTCAACAATTATGTTACCTCGCACAGTCACTTGGGCTGACCCAACTGAGGTACAGCAACTATAAGATTTTTAGACGCAAAACAATTACTGTAAGATGGGATTTCACGGTCTCAAAGCTACTATTATCATGCTGCATAAAAGAACTTATTAGGTGCGCATACTGGGGGACATCAACATTTAGTATTGCTTTAGGTGGAGTTTTTCCTGATCTATAGCAGTATTTATATTCTTCGATTGTTGCGTTCAAATGCGGCTAGCTAGGAGGGTTTTCAAGGAATAAACTCTATGGCAAGACCTATTATGCGCAAAGGTAAAATTACCAATTTATTATTCTGCTCGTTAACACACTATATTAATTAAATAAAAAAATATTACATTTAGGCGACTGATAAAGTAGTGGTCCAAAAGTTAGGTTTGAGGTATGCGTACAGTGAAGGAAGATTCCTCAGAATAGCCAACTGATATTGTACAAACGTTAAACTGGCAATGGACACTGTGTATAAACTATAGCAATGGAAACAGGACAAACTGGAGTTAGAATTTTATAAACTTACAGTCCGAGATTGCGCAATTCGTTCTCGCAAACCCGCATGCGCTTTGTATATAATAATAAGCGTAAGTCCATATTGTTCTTAACAAAAAACCAAAACATCCAAACTGGGATTGTGCGAATATTTGCAATGCATTTTGTTATACAGAAATGCTCGTTCACCTGCCAAATTTGTCAGGGAAGGTAAGCTGATGAGAGCACCCTGAATTTAATTAGTGATAACAATAAACTTTTCAGGAAAACTGACACGGTGTCACAACAAGGTGCCCAGTAAAGCTGTTCTTATCTATCTCATACTTGCAAAAGATGGGAATAATAGCCGTATAAGGTGTTGGAGATGTAGGGAGAAACTACTGCGCGGAACCTTTTCATGAATATCCACAAAATTCTGACAAATTACGCTTTCCAAGCGGATCTTTTCTACATGCCAACCCTACAAGCTTTTGGATCTCATTCAAGTTAATCTCGGCTGTAATCTGTGCGTTGGTGACCCAAACTCAAATTCTCCAGATAACTTTCACGTTCAATGCATACTGTGTTTTTTGCTCGAATATGTTGGCTAATAGGTGTTTGTCTTTAATTCGAAAACCAAGGAACGAGATAATAGATTTGATTAACTCTCAAATAAATCTTAAAAAAAATTATTATGGTAAATGCGCAAGAACGACTGGATAAGAATTGCGATTCCATTCCTCTTAACAAGTGATACAAAGTACATGACACAATAAGTGTAGTTGATTATCCTTGGATCTCTGCAAGGATCGATTTCTTGAATCGACGGAATCTTTTAGCACTTTGTGAAATAACCCCTGATTTGAAGACTTAGGAAACGATCAATAGATAATCAATTTTGTTCTTCAAGATAATAGTGAAAAACAAAGTAAATTAAATTGGTTTGCAGCATCAAATTCAAATAAAAATAACGAGTTTATCGCACAAATTATGTGGTTACTACAACTGGTCTCTCGTTAGAATAATAACTGCCAAACTACTCGCGCCGGCATAAGCCGAGTTGACCGTAATTCTTGAATTTATTTATTTACTCTATTTGTGCAAAGTCTACGGCGTCGGAATGTGAACGCGACTAAATTGTTGGTTAATGAATGAAGTTAAATTTTATTCTCTTCTCTATATAATTCTCGCTAATCTTTCTCTTCCTGTTAGAGTTGGAATTTTAGAATTATTGATGGCTAGTTTATTATTGAAAATTTGTCGTTTTCCATAATTACAGCTAATTTACAAATATGGGCTCGCGTGTCGATGTCAGCCTCTTGCTATATCATCTGCAGTCAGCACATCCCAAACTTTCTTGTGAACCAATTACTAATACCACCTTCCGAGACTGAAATCAATACCTTTGTTTTAATTTGGACTTTTAATGTTCAATCATTTTATCCAAAGTGCATATAAATGCAGTAAGAAGGAAATCACAACAATTTCAATAAATTAATTACAAGAGAAAAAAATTTTCGAATAATTAAAATAACAGTCCACCATCATAGTATCAGTATGGATAAGAACTAATTAGTTGACAGATCCTAACCCTTTACGGATTGAGAACATACTCCAAAAATTTTACAATATTATGAGGCATTGCATGTAGAGCCCAGTTATATCGAATTTGAGAGTACAAGAAATATATTCTAGTCGTCGATGATAATGCAGACATGACATGAGGTATGTTGGGTGTATATTAATTTGTTTTTACGTCATTTTGTAAACCATTTTTATTAGAACTATTTGAGCAATTTGATCAAGAAGCAGTTTGATTGCGTTTCCGCTGCTGATGGTTGTGATGCTCTTAAAATCGTAAAGAGCTCACAACAGTAAGTCAAACTCATAAATTCCATGCATTTAATCTATGCAAGAAAAGTAAGTCTTAGTTATAACCAAGTGCGTCGTATAACAAAAATATCTAAGCTGTTAGAAATTGGTTTTGTTTATAATAAACAAAAAAATGAAGTCATTTTTATTGTGCACGTAGATTGGCCTGTTTTACAATAAACTTCGTTTATTTATCTGTCTATTACAATTCTGCGCATCAACTAACATTAGCCATACTCTGTGGCGAATAATCAAGCTTTAGCTTCCACATTGGAGTAGAGATATCTCCTAATACTAATACTAAGTTTGCATTTTGGTTGTTTGTTCTTTCGGGAAGTAAAAGAATAAATGCCACATTCAATTGCTTTGTTAACAATTACTTCCACCTTTAAACTTCTGGACTGATTACCGTATACTACCGTGAATAAGCACCCATCGTGTGAATAAGCCCCCCAAGATTACCCAGATTAATTGCATCGCGTGCCCCCCCACCCAAAGTTCATTACGTAAGTATACAAATCAAAAATTTTTATTTCACGATAATAGTACGCTTCTGGTTACTGCAATCACTGTTGTAAGCTACCCCTTAACGTTGTTGTGGCAGTAAAATATTTCATAACTTTCTAGATAGGGCTAACAAAACCCATACTTTCAGTCAACTACCGTGAATAAGCACGATAGGATCGTCAACTCTTATCGGCATTATCAAAATAATCTGACCAGATCATAGAACAAATAGATCACTTTGTCCAAACTCTTATTTATATTGTGATATTTTTATCTATTAATTCATCTATGATTAACTGAAACTAAATTATGATTCCCAATAATACAAATTTTCGTATAATTGTTTCACCTGAATTTCAAGAGATACATATTGTGACAGTGTTTCAAAAAGTGGTATCACTCTATTATTGTTAAGAAAATTAATAATTAAGCTAACACCAATACATATACAATCTATTTTGAATACAATAACTTACTTAAGTTTGAGAAACTCTGCCTATATGTTGGATAAATATCTAATTAGATTAGTTGCAATGTCATAGGAGACTAACATTGATACAGTTTACTCACATTGATTTTCTTATCATTGTTGTGTTCCTAAAAAGAATGAAATATTAATAAGAATGAATTACATTTATATTTGTAAACTGATGCAGATATAAATCTGAATACCATCAATGGCAACTGGCCAGATTCAAAAAGTCTCTGCTTTTCCGACTTTATAAATAACAAAAACCATAAATACTGTATTGGTGATTAAATTCGAAGTGAGCAAAAAAGGCATGTTTATGTTACCTGAATTTGCATTTCATTCATTACAAGACCACTCCATTTTTTATGCATTTCAAGAGGTTTTGCTGGATGACCTATATCACATGCCTGGGAGATTTTAACTATAAAGTCTTTGCTAAGAGCATGACTTCCAACCAATTTGATACCTTTATAATAATCTTCATCAAACTCAACTTGTAAATGTCATTCTTTCCTATATCACTGTTAGTTGATAGCTAAAACGCTATAAGTATATAGTTATAGGAATGCTTAAATTACAACTCAATATTCAATTACTTACAATCTTCTGAAATTCACTCAAATGTAAATCATGATCTGCCATATCAGTACTAACAAAAATGAAGTTTGATATGCTAATCTGTAGTCTTTACAATTTAATGAAAATCACGGTAACCTTACCTCAATATCAAATCAGTTACACGGCCAGTAAATAGTAACAAGTCGTTATCATTTAAGCATTGCAAAAAGTTATGTTTCTCTTGAAATAAGAGATCACAAGCAAAAACTACATGATAATGCTGGGAAGAACTTGTTAGACACACTAATCCCAAATCAAAATGCTAAAGTTCATTCCTATTCCGGCTGTGTATATACCTCTAGAAAATTCCTTCTATTATTATGACTTGTGAAATATCTATTCAGTTTTAACTCCTGTACTGCTTCAGTATTATGTTCTATTCTCAAAAGAAAATCTGCACTGAGCCCAGGGTGATCAATGTCATGAACTAGAGCAGCTAAATGGAATGTAACCGTTAATAAGTGGCGTAACTTTCAGGATAAGTCTGTCTACTGACCCACCAAAAAGCAATGTTAATACATCCAGATCAGATAATATCTCTTTTATCTCTTGTTGTTGCGTGAAAAAATAAGCAGCTGCTCAAAAAAGAGAGTTCGTTACTAAAATTTTTAGTATTTGGTGGTAAATTTCATCAATATATCATACATTGTAAAACATCGCCTGCGTGAAATGCGTTGTGATCTGTCCGCAAACGGTGGAATGATGGTGTGAACAAGCCGCCCAAAGTTAACGCGTGTTAGAATAACCAAGATGTTTGTGCTTACATGGATTCTCTGAGTTATAGGCTGGAAAACAAGATGATAATTAGTTTCATATTTACAGCTGTTAGGCTCTTGTTTAATATAAATTGCTAAAGCTCACATTTTTCAACACTTTTTACAAATTCGTTGAATTTGTCCTTATCAGCTCCGACTCTCGTTAGTACGTCCGCAAAGACTTGAGCCGCAAGAGTAGCTAACGACACATTGAATGTGTCGTTCGACCAATTCTAAAATTATGATCACGCTTTAGTATTAGTATTAGAAGATGGCAATCAATTTAATTTTTCACATAGCAATTCTTACGTTAGTTTCTCTCAGAGCCATGTCAACAAACTGACTGTTATTTCGACAGTATTTACAACAATGGTTGCACCAAATGTGCAAAAAAAAAAAGGCAATTGTTTAAATTGCTCTAATTTCACAATGAACAAACCAATTAAAGCATATCATATAACATTTTAAAGCTTGGAAGCAGTAGATTTTATTAATGTAAATTTATGAAAATTTCCCCCTATTTATTACTGTTGAACATTTTAAACTAATTAGAAGGCTATCGGGAATATTATTCCAATTCTAATTCACTAAATTTTTGGAATTTCCAGTTTCATCAAGTTTTTTGGGAGTGGAATTTTTATCTGCGAATATATTTCAGAAGCATTGCATGTTTTCTGCTTTAGAAATGCTCTTGCTTAGATGGGAGCCATTTGTAGTAGAATAAGTCTCAGAATTGGCAAGTGATTAGACTTATAATTACATAAAACAAATAACACTAAAATGAGCTTTCGTTTTTATTTTACATGACATGAATAGTCCAAAATTGGGCAAGTTACATATACACAAACTATAGATAATGCTGGGAATTACCATTTTTTTGCACACCACGGTATGACAATATTCTCCTACAAATATAACACAGGGGACTTTCTAATAATTTGAAAGACTTCATAGTCCTCAACGTCGAAGGTATCTCTATCAATAATACCATATTCGTACGAAGATTGCCTACTAGACCATTTTTGGTTGTTATCAGAGGTTGTATCATTTGCATGATTCATCCACAAGTCGCCATTTCCAAAACAAGGACCGCACCGTTCAGTCCATCTGATCGCATAGTTAACAGAATTCAACATAACTCGACTCAATTTAGAATGATTATTGTCTCCAAACGAAAAAATAAAACTATCGTGTGCTCTGACGTATTTGCTATCGTATGCTTGCTGCCATTTCGTTGGATTGTATCCGCCAACAAGCTCGCCTGTTCCACTGATTTTGGCTATCACTACTGTCGGACCTTTATTATCGCAGTGGTTGTGGAATGTCCGCGCATCAAAGCCATCTCGACTGCCACTGTAGTTAATGAACGAGAATAAAATAAGCACAAGGGTTGTTTTGGATTATAAACATAATTTTATGTAGACGCTTAATATCCACCGTAAAAGTAGACGAAATTCATGTGACATGTCTTTATAATTGCTTAGCGTTATTGCATCGTATTTCCGGTCTACAAAGAGATTAACTTGTATTGAGTAATTTCACGATACATGAATAATCGGCTAAATCTTTTTACTTACCAATCCAACTGGAAATAAGAGCAGCGTGCTTGGCATTTATGGTTGTAGAATCCATTGGAATAAGACGGGGAGGCAGAATCTCGGATTTAATTCCACTCACATCGGGCGACTTCATATGATATCTTCAAAGCGTTATTAAACGCTTCAACAACAATTACATGATAGAATCAAAATCGAATTACAACAAGCTCCCAGAAAAACAAACCACATACTTGACAATATCTTCGTTCAATTTTTTTGGCAAGATCTTCTTAAAATCTTGTCTAACTTTCTCGTAAAATTCATTCGAAGGCATTTGAAAGAACCTTATCCAAGGAATCAGATCATGCAATGTACGCTCCAAAGCTGTAAATTCCTCCTTGCTCCATTTATCGTAATCACTAGATGATGGTGACGGCATATTTGCTATTCCCCACTGTAACAAATATTCCCAAATTTCAGTCTCCTCCATCTCCAAATCGTCTCTCTTCAATAGATATAACAGCACATTCTCCTCCACCGAACAAAAGTTTTCAGACCTAAACAATACTTGCGGATTGCCGCATATGTAACTCAGAACGTAATCACGTAGTTGTGAGCATGCTTCATGACGACAGACAACATGAACTACGGAAAAGAGGTTTTCTCGCAGCCACGAGCATTGTGTTTCTATGAGGTGGTCTTGGACGTGATTTATTAGCTTTGTAAGATCCAGTTCATCGGCGGCTACCATTAAATCGAGTAAGTCAGAGTTGTGCTGAGCATTAAAGTCAATAGATCCGCTATAAATAAATCTAATGCGTATAAAATTGCAGAGACGTTTGTTATTAAAATTGGCATGCTTCCGTCGCATTTGACTTGATACCCTCAGTTTATACCCTCGCTTTAATATTGTTTTCGCACTCACTTGTGTATAACTTCAAATACGGTAGGCGAAATATTGGGTTGTTTGAGAACAAACTTTTCACCGTCCTTTCGAGCCCAATTACTCGATAAAGCAGTTCGAAAGTATGGAGAACGTCCACGTAGGATTACAGAATGTGATTGAAACGACTTTACATTGGGCTCCTCTCCTACCCGAATTTCAACATTATAGTCGTCTGCATCGACAAGTAATTTACTAAAGTCAGCGGCGAGATCAGAGTGGAATTCAGAAGCCATTGTCAAGGCATTGACAATCAAAATGAACATGATTTATACCAAGGATGTCACATGCACAAACATTTAAGCTGTGTCAATTATCTCATTTATTGACTAAATGAATTCTTTCAATCATCCACCAGATCTAAATGTGGAGCCATCCCAAGGACCATCAGAATCGCAGAAATTGTTTCGTAGACATCCTGGCGATAACATTGAGCTACATTTACTACAAGATGTGAAGACATTTGGATTAGCTGGGAAGGTCTGGGACAGGTTGAATATTGCGTATTCGTTTAAAGACGTTAATCGTGTAACAAAATCAAATACTTCAACTTTGTTACTTCACTCTAACCAGCACATATGCACTAGACCTCTATCTCTGCCTACCACCCAATCATCTTGCCTTTGATCCACCATGTCCTATACCTTCCTATCTCTTTCATCATGATGCGAGACCCCAAAATCATTCACCCCATTACACAATTTTGGAACTAGGATCGGGAACAGGCTATCTTGGTATTACTCTTGCCTCAAGATTAGTTCCTCCCTTTACGCTAATCCTTACAGATCTACCGGACGTCCTTCCTCTTCTCAATCGCAATGTATCAAACAATACTCATGCAAATACAGACCATATTGTGGTCGAACCTCTTGGATGGGGCAATTCGGTACATTCTGAGTGCATAAATTCAAAGTATAAAATAGATCTTGTAATAGCTTCCGATCTTGTATATTTCCCAGAATTATTTGATCCGCTTATAAAAACTTTATTAGAGATATGCAGTGAAGAAACAGTCGTTGTTTTCGGATACAAAGTTCGGGCTCAATGGAAGGAGGAGACTTTTTGGGAACAAGTGGGAAGATTTTTTGATTTGAAGGCTGTTAGAGTTGATACAAAGGCACAGATGGATTTAGATAATACCATACGGGAAGAAATTACAAGAGTTGAGGAGAGGGCTAGGGAGAATGTCGTGGAAGAAAGTGAGGCGGGCTTTAGGATATTTGGCGAAGAAGATGGGATATTTATATTTATTGGAAGAAAAAGGGCAAAGGAGAAATATAAAAAAGGTGTTGATGATACATTTGCTACAATACTATTATTGCAGATAGATTTATTATAGTATATGTCTAAGTTTTACGTAAGCGTTGGATAACACGTCGACTACTCAGTGAATTATTGACTAGAACAATCCGTTTATAACCAACGGCATTATGAATAGTGCACAACATAACTCGGTATAATCAATCATCAACAAAGATTTTACACAACTCTAGAAAACACCGTTGCTTGGTCTTCTCAATATGTAACTTTCTGTAATTTGGATCATAATCTTTACCAGTAAATGTCCATGGTTCATTCATATGTTTGATCTATTGGAACAAAAGACACAAATTCAGCAAGTTTTGGACGAAACCAAAGAACATTTCGTTACGCACTTACGATTTGGTCAGCAACTTCGGGATGTCCCTTGGCTTTCGCCATATCTAACAAAAAGATCGGTTTTAAGCGTAATAACTTCTTGCGGGAGAGGTAGCATACATAATTTCAAACAGAAGATACAAGTCAAAGGATACAAACTATGGCCTCTAACATTGGTGTGCTCCACACCAAGTTTAAGAACGTAGATTGAGCGAATGCCTCATTTTCGGCTGCTTGTTTAATGTAGCGAAGAGCATCCACGTACTCTGACTCGAGATTTGTATCGGCCGGGATAAACTGTAACAGGACTGCTGCTGCCATGTATTCTGATTGATAACTGTATGAATCAGCATTGTGTACGCAAGACTTGCCTTCATATTATCATCATTATGCACTGTACCTTTTAATTTTATGCAATACTTAATCGCTTGCTTTACTGATGATTGATAAGACACAAGTATGTCTTCGGCCTTTCCGTTTCCAGATGTTTTCGTAAACTGTGTGAAATTGGAAGTAGCCTGAGCCATCTCTTCTAAAAAGGACCTATGGTAGCAATTATGCAGACAGTAAGCATTGCAAGACAGAAGCATACGATATAAAGAATTAGGATCAGACCTTATTGCTTTCCTAGTCTTATCTCTTGTATTGGATACATCGAGCTTTTGAGCTGGTTTGGGTTTCCAAGAATTATCTTCCTCCATACTGACCTCGCCACCATTGAAACTAACATTGTTCAAACGCGCAATGTAATCTTGCGGAGGACTTAGAAAGTCAAGACCTGTTGTTACATAGTGTGATTATCCAGAAAGTTTATATGAATTTATGCTACATGTTGGAAATTACCTGCTTACCTGTAGCAGCAGCAGTCTTCCAAGCTTTTGGTGAGTTGGCTTTCACGCAAAATTTCCTAACAAACTCTTCCAGGTTTGTAAGCCTCTGCTCGGCGACAGCAGTATCCGAACCGGGATCTTCTTGCATTTTGTCGCATTCCTCCATCTCCGAAATGCAATACTGAAACACTTCAACAAGAACTTTCTCAACGGCTGAATCCTGAGACGAGGTTCGAATGTATCGTAAACAACGAACTGGTATTTCCATAACCATGTTATCTGGGGAGTAGATTAGATGATGGCATTGTGTTAAAAGAGAGCAACAAACTTAATTGGTAAGAATACATGTATCACCTGCAGAAATATCAGCTACGTTCAGAGAATTACACACAGCGAGTTTGACTGCCGTCCCAAGCTGCCCACAGTTCACTGCTTCGTCTACTAAAGACCTACGAAAACTACGGGATAACAGTGATTTTGTCCCTTTATTAAGCAGTAAAGGAATAATTTCCTCATAATTTCTTTCGGCACGAAGTCTATCAACACGCTTGATTGGAGATGTTTCATGAAATTGAGGACCCGACATTGCCGTCGCCGCTTGTGCAAAACCAATTAATCTCTCTTTGTTTATTTCACTACAAAAAAGCAGTATTTGATAAATATACAACACATCGCAACGATAAATCGACAATATTCAGTACCAGAGATTATTATAGTCTTCACTGTCATCTAGCTTTTCCATGGCGGCGACAGAATTTTCCAAATAAAACGCAGCCTTATTAAAATCTCCTTTGGCAAAATAATAACGTCCCAATTCAAAAGCTAACTGAACTGATAAAATCCGGTTTTCTTGCGAAATACTCTCCTTGAGACGTGATATATTTTACGTTAGAATTGCGCCACGTAAAATAGTTGACAAACATTCCGATTACATACTTCTCGAGTAAGTTTACTATAAAGTTCCTCAAGATGAATATGTACGGGAGATGACCCGACAGGCTTAGTAAATAATGGTGCATCTTTGTAAACGGATCGGATCGACCATCTATATGTTCGTATTATAGGATCTTGGCTAGGATCCGTTGACCTAGAAAACAAGAATTGTGTGAGAAACGAATCCAGACGCAATTGTGAGTAAAAGCAAGACTTACGGTGCATATTCAATTAGGTATCTCAATAAGATTTGTTGAAGATAGACTGGTACATTCCTCTCTATTTGATGCAGGCCCAATTTCGTCTTTTGGATTAACTAAAGAAAGCATACGACACGGTATTGAGATAAGAAACCACTACGATCAATCTCACGAGGATCAACTAGTTATAACTGAAGCAAACCTTACACGACTTTTTCAAAAGCAAGTCTTGCTTCACTGTTAACTGAACGTACTGCATGTTCAGTTCTGTCATATTTTGCATACCGGCAAACGTCTTGAAAACTGGCTCTTCCATGAAAGCGCGAAGAATCCTCGCACCGCTCTCGCTATACTCTGATTCCTTGAGGTTATTAAGCTACATGATGCAAGATTTATGATAAAGTCAATAGGAAAAGAGACATGAAAAAATGTTTGCAGAATTCGATGAGAAATTACATAGATGTCAAACTCATTGGGCTTTAGTGTCCAGTTAAAGATCAGTTCTCTAAGATCTTCCATAGGAGTGTCTATTATTCGATTACGGGGTGTGGGAGTATTTATAACTTTTTGTTGTCTTGTGTTTCATTCCCGAATCGGGTTGTTTCATTAATTGTATCCCAGTTCCTTATATGGAATATGAGTAAATTATGTGTGTTCTCATCAGAATTTACCTCCCGGGTCACAAATTGGGAATAGCTTATTGTGAAACAACTAGATATGTAGTATTTTCACATTATTTGATATGACTTGGTAGTACCGTTAAGGTTTTAGTTACAGACATTCTTCAATTGGGAAGATTCGTGTGGGATCCGCTTTTATCGCATCACCAGGATTCTTTGTCTGCATTCTAGTCATGAAGTGGCTATCGCGTCTTATTGACCGACCAATTGGCTTGGGTATGAAAATAATGTCAGAAAGCACGCATCATCCGGCTGGTGTTGAAACGGGCTCGAATGTTGCTACGTATTTTATTCAGGAACGAACTCATTACCAATTTCATAAAACATTATTTACTTTAATAAATATTGTATCATATTTTCTTACATAGTCAAATGGTTGAAATTTACTAGTAAAACATAGTAAACCCCTTTGGTTTTGAAAATCTCTATTACTATCGTCCATGCGTACTATGCAAGTTGCAATGATTTTTGTAGCTAATTGATGACATATTCAGTCCTTTTATCATTTTAAAGCTTGCGGTTCGATGAAGTGCCATCTTCATGTTACACATATTAAACCGTATGAAATCATATTAATATTAATATTAATATGTGTAATAGTAAGATAAATACGCCCCTTCATCGGAGGGTGGCTGTGTATATGTCAACTTGCAAAAACAGAAGAAATCTTGGAATATAAATACGAGCCACTTTTTATAACCAATATAGCTGTGAGCCCCAAAAAAGTGTTTAGACAGTCAAAACTAGTTAATATTAACGATCGCAGGTTTTGCCAACAGTTTCTGTTTCACTTTTACTTTATTAATCGTTAATGTATCGTTTATTTTTGTCACGTGATATAGATCTACAGATGCAGTAAATTATTTGCCAGACCCATTTTGCATATGTTCATGAACGTAAGATGCCAAAACGAATCCCAACAATTTCACACATTGCATCGCTAGTATTGGATCTTCGTACCGGATTAGGTGCTGCCAAGTTGAGTCACTCGGTGAAAAAGATTACTTTGTTTACCACATCACGGAGAGGTGGCGTTACTGCCAAGTAAGATGCTTGAGTAATTGAAATGTAGCCCGTGTTTTGCGAAGTAATAATCATTCTGATACGAACTTTGTGAAGAAAGTTTTGGCGACAACACCTTCCCCGGATAGCATACAATAATCCTCATGTAGAATTTGAAATCAAGGTCAAAGATGAAATGAATGTGCGGCCACGGTTATATGTGAGTTTTGGTGCGTAGATCAGAGTAAATAATTTGTCCAAAAAAATGTCTTAAAATATCTAGTCATTGGGTAATTTACTGATATTTTGTTAGACGATGCAAACAAGAAGCCGTTGAAGATCGATTGCTCACATTTGAAGACACCAGATGGTGTCTGCAGGCGACTTTTGCATGAAGCGGACGGAGTGCCAGCTCTTTTGGTTGGAGAAGATGCGCTCGCTGACGTCGTTGGGTCCCAAAATAAACCCAGATGGGGATATTACTCAAACTAGTGATATTAGGGAGACATCGTGTTTGGATAGTTTTTGAGAATCTTGATTTTATAATTCGGGGAGACGTTGCTCGTGGATTTTCTCCGTCCAACACTACATTATTGTGATAGAGGTGGAACGACATATTATGATGCAGACTTTCTTTTAAAAGTACAGTTCATAAGATACCATGGTTCATAATACGTGTCATAAGCTATATTGTAATAACTTTCATTTATAATAAATCAAAGTTAACTGTTTCTAGAATTACGCAGTCTATTAGTCATAAGAATGTGTTGACAATGCAACTGATTCCAGGCAAGTGACACTTCTCTCGGCTTAAATTGTAGACGTGTCTTCCAGTTTCTTCATTGTATTAGGTTCCCAATTATATGTATCTTTGTAACAGAACCGAATATTTAGTTATTTACACATCTTGTTTCAATACGGCGGAAAGCTTTTGCATGAGAAGCAGAATTTTATAAAGTAAACTATCTTAAACAATAACGCAAATTACTGAACGTTACTTCAACATTTGTAGAAGCAGTGGATGACAATTTCAGGACAAGCAATGCTTACTCAGAGAGAATCATATGTTAGTTAAATGATACAGAATCAATTTGTAAACCATGATAGTATTTATTGTATTCAGCGTTCATCATAATGAAAACTATTGCGCGACACTATAAACGGAATTACGAGCGATTTTATATTTTAATTTAGTGCATATGCGAGTTTTGTCTGCAAATAAAACGCGTATGGTTTACTGATCAGCATGTGAATGTGTGGCGCTCTTGGAAAACAATCTTCTTTCAATAATCTGCCAGATTTGGTTGGTCGTTTCCGGACCAGTTGTGGCAGGTCTGCAATCTTGGCGGTGCACTATTTATTGGGCTTGGGTGATCGGCATAGACAAGTCCGATCACATTCTATTTCATTCAACAACACACCATTCTCATAAACAATTTACTATACAATGGGAAATTGCTGTAGTAGTTGCTTTCCTTCAGAAAGGAAGAAAGGATACACCTTGGGCAGCTCCTCAGATACTGCTTCGGGGAGCAATAGACAGCCTTCAAGAGCCGCAATTGCCGCTGCCGCTGAACAGAGAGCCCAACAGGTATTTACAGTGGTAGCTGCTAGAATTATGTGAATAGTTTAGTTTATTGTCGACTGTTTTTAATATCTTGTCATTTTATTTACCGTTTGTTATTACATTGTGATATTCGCTCAGGCTGAAAACCGTGGCGTAAGGCCAGGCGGTGGTAAACTGAGCAAGCAACTTGAACAAGAGAGAAAGTCGGGTGGTAAATCTGATGATACGCCTCCTGTCGCTAACTTGGAGGTTTGTACTGATAAACGATTGTCTTGGATATGTTGCGTGAGAATATGACTAAGAGTTAATTTTTGTTGGTCTTCTACAGTGGCGGGTGGATTAACGATTTACGGACTCGAATGCATTCTGTCAGTTACATGTATATATCTATGTATGATTAAACTCAATATATCACGTTACCGGTCGTTGCATTATATAATAATTCAAGTGTGGCCTTGTAGCTTCATTCTTACTTTGAAGCTATATTTGGAATAATTGTTATTTATAACACATGAATACAAATACAATGTGCGTTTTATATTCTCTAGACATGATTTTAATAATAAAATATACACCAAATTCAATACTGATGATATGTTATCTATTCACAACACAGCGTAACAATCGGTTCACTGTACATTTGCATCTATCTACAGAGTAGAATCATTAATATATTGCCAATGTTATTAAACTAATCTACATGTACCACATTTCAAAGTTATACATAAAAAAACCCCCAAGATTAAATGCTGCTCTATCACAAGTTGTTGGATATCAAATAAGTGGATTCTATAACCCACAGAGTCGGTAAGACAGTATGTCCACTTCTTTTTTACTCTAATGGGTAGAATTTAAATAGACCGTTTTGGTAAAATGCATAGACATACATCATGTCAATGTTTATGAATGATCTAGTAGATATTGAACAGCTCGATTCATATCATTATCAGAATCACGAAGAGCACGTATAATAGTGCTTTCGTCACTATCTGGGAAGATGGCTTGCAAATTGGCTATGGCATCTCTGTTGACAGTTAAAGGTGGCTGTATAACAATATCAATTGTAAGAAACGGCTGACAATGTCAAATATGCAACGATCAAATTATAATAAGCAACATACTGTAGTTGGAATCTCATGACTATCGCTTCCTCTCGTTGTATCAGATGTTCCAGGCGTATTCTCGTCAAGCATCGCACTAGATGAATTGGAGGGTCTTCGTGGTTGAGATGATCCTATAATCGGAAGTAGGAAACTGGAAGCAAATCTGTTGAGAAATTCAGGCGACCGCCATCTGGACAACTTGAGCATATCACTCCTGTATATAGCACCTGCCGTTAATCCACATATCCCAGATATTGTTGAATGGGGATATTTGCTAAGCAGTAACTAAAGCATAGTAGAGCATGAGTAGGTTCATAACCATAAGGAACGTCCATTAAAAGCTTTCGACAAGTCTTTACCAGCAATCCAGCCGTGTTTGGTATAAATTTGTTATTTAATGATAATCCATACGACTGAGAATTATGTTCATCAGGAATGATCTGTTGATATTGATATAGACCAGCAAATATTAACGCATACGGACTTGTCGATGCGTACGTAAAACCAAAAGACCTTCCGAGAAGAGACACTCCCAATTCAAATAAAGTCGACAATGCAGTCGAGGCAAACAAGAAAGCCTTGCATGCAAATACATAAAAATCAGTCAGAACGGGATACAAGGTTTTAAATTGATGGCATGAAATTGAACCATAAATAAACTCACAGCGTATTTAGCAGATCCAAATTGACGCTCTATTAAGCGTAAATGATACAGAATTATCCAACCACCAATCAACTCGCTTGTCCCAGAAAATCCACTGTACGTAGTTAGCAGTCTCAAAAACTAATCAGATGACAACGTCAGTTCACTTGTGATTTATCACAAATCAAATCTCACAAGTAGCTCGAATACTAACCTCACTGTGATTAACAACTTGATGAATTGACTGCGAGATAGAATTGGATTTATTGGTTAGCATAACGGCAGCTATTGAGCAGCCACCAATACCGAAAAACAATGCTTTTGTGATAGGTGCATTATAGAAACCTATTATAACCATTATCAGATAAATCAGTTCCTTGTTACTCAATATAACATTGTATCAAATATGTGCAATCAAACAAGGAGCGAATTATAGCCAAAACACATTAGCTCACCGGAAGCAGACATTGCGTTTTTGGTCAACAAATTCAGACAAAATAGAGAAGGGAAGGACTTTTTGTTATTTCCTACTGATCATTGTTGTACGAATAGTTTAATAGACAAAAAAAGGATGCTGCGGCAAACCCATAGCACGGATGACAAATGCCCTTCCTTGCTAAATACGGAATATGATTTTCGTGTGTCCAAAAATGGTTTCAAGTAAATTTTCATATGATTAGAGTATGATCGAACACCTTATTAGGCCAGCATTACGACAACTTGTTACAGAGACACTTGACCCGTTCCCCTCCTTTTCTTGTGAAAAATAAGCGGCTTACTTAATATTTACAGTCGCGTATGAATATCGAAAGACTTTATTGTTAGATAAAGCCAAAGAGAAAAAGAACTTTGGAAAAATTAAAACTCGCATAACACGTAGATATAACACTTACAGACACCTTTATAATGGTGTTGATTCAAGTAAGCTTGCACAGCAATTCCAGCTAATCAATATCATGTCTACGTCTCTTCATTAATCCTACGATCGTCTATCCCGTATAACAATTCCTTCATCGTATCAAGATAGTATCGTTCTTCTTCTCACCAGTTACCTCGCTTGTCGAACCGTATGTAACAAAAATAAGTGAGGCCCTCACTTCGGAAAAGACACAGCGAGTCGCTGTAAAGTCGATATTCGTTGGCTTCTCTGTTGTCCTTCTTTTGCTATTTGCTTTAATAGCGTATATAGCATTTTACTGGGCGTTTGTTCCAGAGATATCGCACGAGTATGAAGTGTTTTTGAATTACAGGTATGTAAAGGCTGTAACTTGAGAGGAGGGAGGAACGGACAATTTTAATTAGGATACTTGTTTCGAGAGATTTGTTATTAAGGTTGGTATTGAATTCGAGATATATGTGCGTGAGTATGTATGTATTTACTTGTGACGATTGGTTATATTTAGTGACGGAGGTCCAAAGGATGTAGTTAATATGACTCGGTATTATTCTGAACCAAAGGTAAATGAACCAGGTTATGTTTTGACCAAATTGCGAGTCTATAATTAATTCTCTCTTTTTATGGTTGTAGTTTCTGACAGACCAGCAATTATATGATGTTTCTGTCTTGTTACACGTTCCTTTCTCTCAGAAAAATAAGGACCTTGGTATGTCAACATATATTTCCTTGTCGTTGTTGTCCCAATATTAATCAATATGAATGCATGCAGGGAACTTTATGATTCACGTGGAATTGAAGTCGCGTCTTGCCAATGATGAAACAGTTAGAGTTGCAGACAAACCAGTAAGCATACGTTATAATTGATGTGGATTGCATCCGGACGAGACATTCCGACTAACCGCCTACTATTTTTGCTCGAATAAGTGTATTCTCACTTACCAATCTCCATTACTTGAAGTGTTTTCAACCGTTTGGAGACTGTTTCCATTGTTAATGGGCTATTCGAAAGAAGATCAAACTCTTGTTGTAAAAATGATTGATAATGTCATTGAAGACAGCGTGAGTAAAGCCAATTATTCCTACGCTTACTTGATAACTTGTTAATGCAAAAAATTGGTCATCCAACTATTTTAATTTGTAGACACGACCCATCTCTCATGCATTGGTGGGAGTATCGAATCCACTGTTGGAAACATATAAAGTTTTAATTCGTTTCGACGCTCACTTTTCTGGATTACGGTACGTCTCGTTCTTAAGATTATCACTCACCATCATCTTCGCTTTCAAACTAACTTGATTCTTTTGTCAATCAATCATCAGTTACTTTATGTATTACCACCCAATTTCAACAGCATTCTCTTTCATCTTCATCTTTTTGGTTGTCGAGCTCGTCTTTTCGATCTTTGCATGGCGTTCAATTGTATCTCGATGGCGAGCAGCCTCAGTTCAAGTATCGCCACCGCCAGTCCCAGCCGAAAGTACTCCAGTTCGTAAGCCAGAATATCAAGACAGTCTTGGGACTAACGGTGAAGATGAGGGACTGGGCGAAATATGGGAGGATGTTGGAAGGACGGACAGCAGTAATAGGAACAGTATAAGCGGACAGTCGGAAGAAAGCATAGATGTCGACAGTGAAGCTGAGGTAAGTTTGGCAATGTATAAGAAGGATTCTGGCATTTTGATTTAAAATCTCTTTATTAGATTATATCACGTTTGGACTATTTTCAGAGTGCTTGTATAGTAAATGCTAGTTCTTTTTGCAACACCCTTATGAATTTTTTTTTTAAAAAAAAAATTTAGCAACAGTATACGACGCAGTCAACTGCTCGCATACCCGAGTCGGGAGGCAGCACATATACAACAGAGTTCTATACGGATGATGACAGTCAAAGTGTCCAGTCGTCTGCCATTGGTGACTTAACAGGACCACTGACCGATGATGATATCGATGAATTTGACGGCAGTGTCACTCCAACTACACATAGTCGAAGAAGTACTATTTCATCTACAGATAACGACACCGACTTGGATAGACCAGTGGTAGGAACGTCAACTGGGAGGTTGCCACTGACAGCTGGATTGGCTTATACGAGAGTTCCTGGATCTGGTGTTGGTGATGGTGATAATTCGGCAAGAGATGGAGGAACGTGAGTGTAAAGGAGAAATAAACAAGTTGAAAGGAATACGATTGGTTATATCATGACATGACCACTCTGTGGTTGCTTGGATCCGATTTGTATGGGAGAATTCCATTTTAAATAGTCTCATTTCTTTTCACGCATTTTAATTTTGCACGGAACACATATATATATTTATAAGTAAATACAAATAACAGCTAAATATTGGGACTACTGGCGATTGTACGTTTTTTTTTTCTACTTATATCGAGGCATTTAGATGATTTGTTTTATGAATGCATGTCTAACATTATGCCAATGATTTGACTACTTTCAAGTCAAACCTGAACAATACAAGACAAAGATTTAAATATTGCAAATAACGTGGATATCCACCATTTTAAGTGTTTATTAATCGACAGTGAAGGCGCTTTTTATAATTTTGAGGCTTTTCGATTAAAGCATTTCAGAATAAATTTACTTGAACGGTTTGTTAATCACCCAATGCTTCCGCCACGAACCGACTTTGCTGTTACAACGCCTTTGGACGTCCTAAAAGGTATATCTTTATACACCGCTACACCCCCTTCGTCAAGAGTAAAGCTTTCGGCTACTTTTTCAAATATCTGCTGTTTTCGATTAAATTCCTCTGCTCCTCTTTGCGCTTGTTCATATCCTTCCCACGTGATCGCTTCGCCAACAATGGAATCTGATGGTATGTCTAACAATTCGATGATTGATCGATCTGCCGAAGATGCTGCCAGCAGCATTGCAGATGATCTGATGCCCTGAAAATTACCTGCTTTAAGATTACAAACAGCAGCTACCAGACGGCCTTGCATTTCTTCAACAGGGACATAGCTGGCGAGACCCGATACTACTGTGCGAGGCTCGCCCGATTCGTCACCTACGTCTACGGTAGACACGTAAGATTTTGGATTATTTGGATGAACTTTGGCTTCTAGTATCTTTGCGACGCGAATGTCTGTGACGTATAAACAATTAATAAGTTGTTAAGATTGATTCATACTCTTCCTAACTCCCCGGTATGTTCCTAATACTTAAATCTCTCAAAAAGTTAACGAACTTTGAAATAAAGCTCAACTAAATAAAACAATGATGCATGTTTTTTCTCTCTCTCGCCCATACCTAACCGAGACACGTCAACGGGTTTTTCAGCTTTAACAGCCTCTGGGGGCCTGTTATTTTTCTTGGATTCTTTCTTTTTTGTTACTTTTGCAGGAGATGGATATGCCAAGTTGGTTAATTCTGGTAGCTTAGGATCATTTGCCCATTTTTGTCTAATTGGTTCCAATAAATTATTAATCGCTTCAATTGCTGCGGCTTTCAAATCACCGGGATGGACCTTTTTGTCGCGAAAATCGTCTTCTAATAGCTGGTAATCTGTGTAAGTAACATCGCCACCAAACTTCTCGGAGCGTTTGATTATAAACTGAGGGTTGTTGCCACCGAGCGATCCTAGTGGAAACACAACTGACTTGATGAAAGCGAGAATACCATTATCGTCAACATTACCCTCTTCACAGAATGCCTTGTTTAGTTTACGCGCAACTGTTTTTTTATCATCAAGAAGATCGATCTTTGAGTCAACATCGGACGAAGACATTTTTGATCCTTGGAGACCAGGCACCATTGGATTCATCAAGTGGGCGCGTTTTTTGTAACCGAGATTCGGCAAGCATTTATCGGCAAACACAAAGATTTTTCGCTGATCGACGCCACCAAACTGAGCATCGACTTGCAAGTATTCTTCATCCAGAGCTTGAAGTCCGGGATAGAGAAGACCCGATAGCAAGGGAGAATCTACTTGTTTCACGACTTCTGCGCCTGCTTTTTTTGCATCATGTTCGGTTACGCTAGCAGCGAGCCTGTAAGTATCCATAGTATATTTCTCTGATAGTTGATAACTTGATCCAATTATGAACTTTAACTTTTCAATGGATACCCCAATCGATTCAAGAGTACTCTTTATTAATTCTTCATAATATTTTGTGCGATGCTTGACCAATTCCAAAGGGGCTTTCATATTATCGAGGAACGCATGAATATCAGCTAATAGAATAGTCACCTAGAACGTTAATTTGGAGAATAAATAATGTAAAGAGGTTTGTAATTCACAGAATACGCATTGACAAATTCTACTATCTCACCTCTGCGCCAGCCGCAAGAAAGTCTGCTATTTTCGACATAGGAACGAAATAGCCCATGTGTGGCTTCCCAGTAGGTGCTGTGCCCCAGTAGAGTTTGATATCTCTCTCACGGAGTATCTTCATGATTTCTTCACCACCGATAACCTCTTGCAAGTTCCTTGTGATAAGTTCATATTTTTCTTCTGGTGTCAAAGGTGAATGCGACATGGTTGCTACCGGCCATAACATTCCTTTCGGGCATGATTTAAAAAAAGCATCTAAAGGTCACGTGCAATGTTTGGTGAATCATCATGAATCAGTCTAAACATACTGCGCAGAAAGTGAACACAATAGCATCGCGCACAAAGCCGTAGTCAGTTTATAAATTGTCTTTACCGATTAACTACTCTATGGTTGAAAAGTTCGAGTGGCTTCTGATAAAAAGCCATCCTCCTTGAATCAGTGACAGTGATTTCACCTAGCAAAATGTTGGTTTATCGGTTCTTGCGAACAAAATTTCATCACTGCGGGATTCTTTAATTGATCAATAGTCATTGGTTAGTCACGAGACATCAACTGTTACACAAAGTGGTATTTCATCACATGAGCAAATCATAACAGTTTGTTCCCCACGACGCGACTGTTAATGTCTCATCACTAGCGAAGCTGCAAGTGACGAGTCTGTCTCTAGTATAATCAACAATCTGAACACTCGAATAGAAAATATGTGGACTTCTCAAGAAGAATTTAGGCGATGTTAAGACGTTCGAACGTCAAAGCTCGGACGATATACAGGTGAGAATTTTCACTGAATATCCGAAGTTATGCTGTCACTAGGTGTAAATCGGAGAATCGAAAGCGCGTGTCCTGCAAAAGTTACCAGCCAGGTATCTAGCCCTGGCGTACGGTGGGCGAGCTGCTGTGAACGTTCTTCATGCTCTGCCAGGCCTGTGGTGAATTGGTGATCTTGATATTTATTATTATGATAAATGTACTTATCTCTAATGTTTCATAGACACAAACCTGGTGATGGGGAATCGATTTAAGCGTGAACACGACTTTGTAGAACAATCATATTCCCTAGGAAGATGGAGAAATTCGAGACAACAACCACAAGTATAAACGACAATATCAGCAGAGTGAGAAGAAGAAAATATATGAACAATAACAAGGAACTATATTCTCACTTTGACAAATCCAGCATTGATGAATTTATTTGTAAATATTCAGGAAACCAAGTCAAAGTTTTGATGGTCAAAAGAATTTGTGTTTCTCTTCAAACACAGGTTAATAATCCTGACAAAATACTGCAGACACTTGTAAATAATGCTTGTAGGACCGAGTTTTTTATCTCCATTCCGACAGCTTTTCTCGTAAATGGATTTGCCATTAATTTCAACACTGATAATGCCACTGTGTTCCTTCACCACTATTGACATACCACCTACCGATTCATCCACAGGCAACACATGTTGGGGAATCCCTTTAAGGCGATGATGGACATAGAAAGATTCTTGATTGTAATGACTTGGAAAATGTTACTATGCCCATTACCATAAATGGTGTGTGTTTGCCCTTTTATATCCATTTGTATTGTATTCTGTGTCAATCTGGTCTGGGAACACAAGCTGATAATATAATTGTGTCGCTAGGTCACAATCACTCTTAGCCATCCACAAAATACAACAAGATTGGAAAGAAGGATAAAGGCTCACTTTTATTCAGCACTATTACTATGCCATTTGGGGAAGCATTGATGAAGTGTAGATTATTGGCCAAGTGGCCACTCATTCAAGTAACAATGAGGAAATATGATTCCTCAACTGAGGCTCTAGTGGCCACGAACAATACAGTGCTAGAGGAAGAAGGCTTGATCAATTTGAGGTGCTATTCTGATAAATCAGTTCAAGAAATTAATCTACATAATGCCAAAAGACATCCAGCACTTATAATCTTCAAAGTTGAACACAGCCACCAACATTAATATATCCTCTCTTCTGCTTCTGTTGTTGCTTTGCAATCCACAACCATGGCATTATCAGATGCAACATTCGATGGTAATGCAGAGACTGCTACTTCAGGAGGCCCAGCATCACCAGCAGCAGATGCAATCATTAGTCAAAGCAATGGAACAGCAACAGAGGCTGTTTACTAAATATACGGAGGAGGGAATGGATGAAGTAAATGAAGAGGAGGAGTATTATAAACAGTAGTGTTACAGCAAGCCGATCTGATAAATCAGATAAGCGAGTCACATGGTAAAATCTTCCTCCGCAGTCAAGCAAAATCCCATGATCGACGTTAATTTTAGAATGGTAGTACGGC